CCAGGTTCAGACAGTTTCGAGGTCGAGATTATGTCGTGGCTGGCAACGTACATTCCTCGAACAATCCGATTTGCAGATATTCGACCACCCGAAACCAATCGTCCATTTGTGACATTCAAGGCTAATGGGAGCTTCTACTTTGTAGACCAAGAGCACTGCCAGAACAAGGCGTTGTTGGCCAGACTGACTCCTCAGCAACAGGAGTCGGCTTTTAAAAACTTGTAATTGCGTGAGAGATTTTTCTTTTCTTTTCTTTTCTCACTGAGTTGAACGCCAATGAGATGGCTGAACTGATGTCATAAATTTGCTCCAAACAATTGAGTTTTAGAACACATTTTATTTGCGTATTCGATAAAAGTAGAGTTTTCTAAAGCAATGATTTTAAGTAGAATAATTAAAATATCCGACAGGCCAGATTTGAACCAGCGGCCAAAGGATAACTTAAGAATAATTGGTTACACAACAATCACAAATACAGTCCTCCGCTCTACCAATTGAGCTATAAGGTCGGGTATGAAATTGACCAAAATTTAAAAAGTCAATGCAGAAATTTTAATTCGAATAATTAAAACTTCCGACCTGCCGAATTCGAACCAGCGACCTAAGGATAACTGGTTACATCACAACTACAGTCCTCCACTCTACCAACTAAGCTAAGGTTAGGTACAAGTTTGTCCAAGACAAAAGCAACAATTTTAATTAAATTCAGGAAATCAATGAATGAATTTTATAAGTAGAATAATTAAAATTTCCGACCTGCCAGATTCGAACTAGCTTAAGTATAACTGGTTACATCACAACTACAGTCCTCCGCTCTACTAACTGAGCTAAGGTCGGGTATGAATTTGTCCAAGACAAAAGCAACAATTTTAATTAAATTCAGAAAGTCAATAAATTTTATTATAAGTAGAATAATTAAAATTTCCGACCTGCCGGATTTGAACCAGCGACCTTAGGATAACTGGTTACATCACAACTACAGTCCTCCGCTCTACCAACTGAGCTAAGGTCGGGTATAAATTTGTCTAAGACAAAAGCAACAATTTTAATTAAATTCACTACCAACTGAGCTAAGGTCGGGTATAAATTTGTCTAAGACAAAAGCAACAATTTTAATTAAATTCAGAAAGTCAATGCATAAATTTTATAAGTAGAATAATTAAAATTTCCGACCTGCCGGATTTGAACCAGCGACCTAAGGATAACTGGTTACATCACAACTACAGTCCTCCGCTCTACCAACTGAGCTAAGGTCAGGTATGAATTTGTCCAAGACAAAAGCAACAATTTTAATTAAATTCAGAAAGTCAATGCATAAATTTTATAAGTAGAATAATTAAAATTTCCGACCTGCCGGATTCGAACCAGCGACCTAAGGATAACTGGTTATTAATTAAAATTCCGACCTGCCGGATTCGAACCAGCGACCTAAGGATAACTGGTTATTAATTAAAATTCCGACCTGCCGGATTCGAACCAGCGACCTAAGGATAACTGGTTATTAATTAAAATTCCGACCTGCCGGATTCGAACCAGCGACCTAAGGATAACTGGTTATTAATTAAAATTCCGACCTGCCGGATTCGAACCAGCGACCTAAGGATAACTGGTTATTAATTAAAATTCCGACCTGCCGGATTCGAACCAGCGACCTAAGGATAACTGGTTATTAATTAAAATTCCGACCTGCCGGATTCGAACCAGCGACCTAAGGATAACTGGTTACATCACAACTACAGTCCTCCGCTCTACCAACTGAGCTAAGGTCGGGAATGCATAAATTTTATAAGTAGAATAATTAAAATTTCCGACCTGCCGGATTTGAACCAGCGACCTAAGGATAACTGGTTACATCACAACTACAGTCCTCCGCTCTACCAACTGAGCTAAGGTCAAGTATGAATTTGTCCAAGACAAAAGCAACAATTTTAATTAAATTCAGAAAGTCAATGCATAAATTTTATAAGTAGAATAATTAAAATTTCCGACCTGCCGGATTCGAACCAGCGACCTAAGGATAACTGGTTACATCACAACTACAGTCCTCCGCTCTACCAACTGAGCTAAGGTCGGGTATAAATTTGTCTAAGACAAAAGCAACAATTTTAATTAAATTCAAAAAGTCAATGCATAAATTTTATAAGTAGAATAATTAAAATTTCCGACCTGCCGGATTTGAACCAGCGACCTAAGGATAACTGGTTACATCACAACTACAGTCCTCCGCTCTACCAACTGAGCTAAGGTCGGGTATGAATTTGTCCAAGACAAAAGCAACAATTTTAATTAAATTCAGAAAGTCAATGCATAAATTTTATAAGTAGAATAATTAAAATTTCCGACCTGCCGGATTCGAACCAGCGACCTAAGGATAACTGGTTACATCACAACTACAGTCCTCCGCTCTACCAACTGAGCTAAGGTCGGGTATGAATTTGTCCAAGACAAAAGCAACAATTTTAATTAAATTCAGAAAGTCAATGCATAAATTTTATAAGTAGAATAATTAAAATTTCCGACCTGCCGGATTCGAACCAGCGACCTAAGGATAACTGGTTACATCACAACTACAGTCCTCCGCTCTACCAACTGAGCTAAGGTCGGGTATGAATTTGTCCAAGACAAAAGCAACAATTTTAATTAAATTCAGAAAGTCAATGCATAAATTTTATAAGTAGAATAATTAAAATTTCCGACCTGCCGGATTCGAACCAGCGACCTAAGGATAACTGGTTACATCACAACTACAGTCCTCCGCTCTACCAACTGAGCTAAGGTCGGGTATGAATTTGTCCAAGACAAAAGCAACAATTTTAATTAAATTCAGAAAGTCAATGCATAAATTTTATAAGTAGAATAATTAAAATTTCCGACCTGCCGGATTCGAACCAGCGACCTAAGGATAACTGGTTACATCACAACTACAGTCCTCCGCTCTACCAACTGAGCTAAGGTCGGGTATGAATTTGTCCAAGACAAAAGCAACAATTTTAATTAAATTCAGAAAGTCAATGCATAAATTTTATAAGTAGAATAATTAAAATTTCCGACCTGCCGGATTCGAACCAGCGACCTAAGGATAACTGGTTACATCACAACTACAGTCCTCCGCTCTACCAACTGAGCTAAGGTCGGGTATGAATTTGTCCAAGACAAAAGCAACAATTTTAATTAAATTCAGAAAGTCAATGCATAAATTTTATAAGTAGAATAATTAAAATTTCCGACCTGCCGGATTCGAACCAGCGACCTAAGGATAACTGGTTACATCACAACTACAGTCCTCCGCTCTACCAACTGAGCTAAGGTCGGGTATGAATTTGTCCAAGACAAAAGCAACAATTTTAATTAAATTCAGAAAGTCAATGCATAAATTTTATAAGTAGAATAATTAAAATTTCCGACCTGCCAGATTTGAACCAACGACCTAAGGATAACTGGTTACATCACAACTACAGTCCTCCGCTCTACCACCTAAGCTAAGGTTAGGTACAAGTTTGTCCAAGACAAAAACAACAATTTTAATTAAATTCAGGAAATCAATGAATGAATTTTATATAAGTAGAATAATTAAAATTTCCGACCTGCCGGATTCAAACCAGCGACCTAAGGATAACTGGTTACATCACAACTACAGTCCTCCGCTCTACCAACCGAGCTAAGGTCGGTATAAATTTGTCCAAGACAAAAGCAACAATTTTAATTAAATTCAGAAAGTCAATACATAAAATTTTATAAGTAGAATAATTAAAATTTCCAACCTGCCGGATTCGAACCAGCGACTTAAGGATAACTGGTTACATCACACCTACAGTCCTCCGCTCTACCAACTGAGCTAAGGTCGAGTATGAATTTGTCTGAGACAAAAGCAACAATTTTAATAAAAATTCAGGAAGTCAATGCAGAAATTTTAAGTAGAATAATTAAAACTTCCGACTTACCGGATTTGAACTAGCGACTTAAGGATAATTTGGTTACATCACAACTACAGTCCTCCGCCCTACCAACTGAGCTAAGGTTGGGTATGAATTTGTCCAAGACAAAAGCAACAATTTTAATAAAAATTCAGGAAGGAAGTCAATGCAGAAATTTAAGTAGAATAATTAAACTTCCGACCTGCCAGATTTGAACCAGCGACCTAAGGATAACTGGTTACATCACAACTACAGTCCTCCGCTCTACCAACTGAGCTAAGGTCAGGTATGAATTTTTTAAAGACAAAAACAACCATTTTAATGAAATTTAGGAAGTCAATGCAGAAATTTTAAGTAGAATAATTAAAACTTCTGACTTCCGGATTGCGACCTAAGGATAACTGACTACAGTCTACAGTCCTCCACTCTACCAACTGAGCTAAGGTCGGGTATGAATTTGTCCAAGACAAAAGCAATAATTTTAATAAAATTTAGGAAGCCAATGCACAAATTTTAGCCCGCTCTACCAACCGAGTAACACAGGACAAACAACATCGACCAAGAAATTAGAAGCTTAAATCCTTATTTTTCACCTATTGTTTTAATATTAAAGATGAAATTAGCAATTTAACGTCAATTTAATCATAATTTATTCATAATTAACATTTATTAATTCTCTTCCCGTCGGATATTTAAATTTTCCTTTCAATAATTTAACCCCAAAAAAACAATTCTAACAAAATAAAATCAACGAGTTGGGAAGAAAAATAAAATAAAATAAAATAAGAGAAAAGGAAAATAAAATAAAATAAGAGAAAAGGAAAATAAAATAAAATAAAATAGGAGAAAAGGAAAATACCATATAGAAAAATTGTCCCATCAGGCGAACTTGGCTTGGTCTTCAACCCGCCACTGTAGTTAAAAAATCTGCCTCCGTCTGCTCTCTTCTAGAAGGCCAGCACAACCAATAAAATACTCCCTCTCTCTTTCGCTCTCAATTTGTTGCAATGCCCTATAAGAAATTGATGATTCTTCAATTTGAATTCCATCATTTATCTCGAATTTGCATTTTGTCTGAACTCAGAAATGATAGTTGCTAAAGAATCTTACAGGGGAGAAGAAGATGCCTCCATCGATCTCTCAGATGATAGGTATCCACACGATGAAGAAGCGGAAGAAACTCTCTCGCTGTGCGACCTTCCAGGTTACAGCGATGAATCAAAATGCGATGATTACTCCAAGCAGGATCAGAGCGCTTCGTTCGACAACGAAGATACATTGTTCGAGTTTTTCAGCGACGATTTCTCTGTTTCTGATTCAGCATATTCTGGATCTGATAGCATAATCTTCTGCGGGAAACTGATTCCTTACAAACAGCCGTGCGATTCACAAAACAAAGGAAGAATCGCATCGGAGAAAATTTCCGGAAAGAATCGTCAATTTCGTACGAAATCACAATCGTTCGATGCAAGAAAATCGCCTACGATTGACGCAAGAGGTCGCGAGATCACTTGTGCGAGAACGAAGAGAGGGGTTAAAAACTTCGATTCGCTTTCCATTGCACTACCGAAGAATCCGGAGTACATCAAACGAAAGAGATGCTGTAAATTGAAGAAATACGACTTACAGGCGGAGAGAGCGATGATACTGCAATCGTCGCCAACGAAATCGCGCTGGTTCTTGTTTCTGTTTGGTAGCGCGAGGTTGCCGAAGGAGATGGAACTGAGTGATATGAGGACAAGGCAACGACGGAGCAGTCGGCCGGCAATGTTCCGGTCGCCGGATGAGAGGAAAGTTGCAAGAGGAAGAAGTGGAAAGAAGACGACGGTTCATGAGTTGTGGAAGGTTCTCAAGGCTCTGGTAATGGGCTGCAGGAGCAATGATCAAAACGCCGCCGTAAAGGGTTCTTTCCGTCCATTCCATTCGTCTGATGCTGGAAAGTCGATTTTGTAGATGCTTTTTACATATCTTCTAATACAAAAAATTACTCTTTATCTACTTTTTTTTTTTCTTTTAATTTGTTTGTTTGTGAAAAAAAAAAAACTTACCTAAATTAGTTAAAGATAATATTATATAGTAAAAAGTTTTAATTTCAGTAAATTAAAATTCGTTGAAAAACATCTTAATATGATGTTTTCCCCATTTTGAAATGATGATTAAAGCAAATTGATGTTATTAATTATTAAAAAAGTGACACTTCATGAAATATTTTGTACACCAAATACAATTATTTCATAAAATAATTAAACCCTTTTCGTCATGTTCGGTTGAGAGATTAAGCTCGTATGCATTGTCTTTAAGAATCATTTTCGAATTTGAAATACTCATTGAAGTAAGATTTAGGTCAACGTTTTCATACAAATAGTTCTTTAAAACTGTTATATTTTACTTAATTAACGTAATTTTTTTATTCAAAGGAATGACTTATACGTGTAAACCTCATTTAACCATAATTTTCTTAACACTAGTTCGAGAACAGAAACGTAAAATTATTTGGTTAACAAATATAAAAAAAAAAAAAAAAAAATCCTAATTCTCCATCCTAATTATTTTATAAAATAATTATATTCATTTAGTCATATCCGTGACGAGAGATTAAACTCGAATGCATTATTGCCATAGAGCATTCTCGAATTTGGAATACTCATTGGAACAAACTTTAGGTCAACATATTTCGAGAATAGTCCTTAAAAACTATTTTATTTTACTTAATTAACGCTATTTTTTTTAATAACTTTATAAATATTTATTTTAACTTATACACGTCAATTAACTAACAATTTTCTTAAGACGAGTTTGAAAACAAATCATAAACACAATTAAAAAAAAATCCTAATTCTTAATACTTCCCTTTAAATTCAAACCTTCAATCCCACATTTTTTAAAGCGATAATTTCAATTTAAATTTATGTCAAAGTATCAACCCCAAAATATAAGTTTAATCAATCATAATTGATAGCACGATAAATTGTCATAACATAAAAGCAAGTGTTTTAATAAATAGTCAACAAAAAAAAAAAAAAAAATATATATATATATATTTTCGAACAAAATAAAATAAGACCCAAAAGGTCCGGAATTTAAAAAATAAATAAATAAATTGTCAACTATAATTTATTTCTAATTGTCGGTATTGTTAAGGAGTGGAATATTTAAAAAAAAAAAAGAATATATTTGTTAATAAAACAAAGGAAAAGGGAAAGACGAGTTTGCCACCACCGCTAAACAATTGGACGAAGCCTCCAATTTCTGTCTTCATGCAGACATAAAATACAATTTATTCCCAATTTGTCAATTATTAATTTGCATTACTTGCAGCTTATTCTACGATAATTTATTTTAAATTTGAACTATAATTTTGTTTATTTATTTATTTTTAGAAGAAATATAATTATACAAACCAAACAATAAACAAGAAGCAATATCTTATTAATAATTTGAATATATGGAAATTGCACAAATTAAAAATTGATTAATTTATAAATTAATTATTGAAAGACCCAAAAATTTTACATAAGAAATAAGCATTATTGTCGTATTTATTTAAAATTATATCAATTTTGTTTCATACATAACATTAAAGAAAAATATTTTCAAACAAAATTTGAAGGTATAAATAAAATATAGCAATAGTTAAAATTTAACAATAAATATAATATTCAGAGAATATTTATTATAGTAATTCTATAAATCTCAGTTAATATTTTATATTAGAATTTGATTAATTAATATTTTATATTAAAATTTGATTAGTAGCATATTTTTATTTTATTTTCAAGATTTTGTTAGTTTATATTTTCTTTTTATTTTTAAATATTAATTGGTAGATTATATCATTTTTTAAATGTTGTGAACATTAATGAATATCGAAATTTTGATTCTACCTATATTTCTCGAACTTTCAATTTCACTTTTACTTTTCATTCTTAACGAGGTAAAAAAACATAAAGATAACTTCTCGATTTAACAGTAAAAAAACATTTATTTAGTTTATAAATTTGAAAAAGAAAATGGAATGTCAAGATATTAAATTCATTCAAGGTGTGGGCCCCACCTCTCTTTAATGTCACTGCTATAATAATAATAATAATATCTGCCTTATCTTGATGGATAAGACGTGCCCGAAACAATAGGGAGGGAGAGGGACAAATTCGATGGTAAAAAATAAATTTCACTGTTTTTACTTGGTTGAATTCTTTATTCATAAATGGTAAAAAAAAAAAAAAGCCTTAGGAATATATCAATATTTAAAATATGTCAACTTGAGTATCATATAATTAATTAATTAATTAATATATGATATTTGAACCGTGATTTTGAAAATTATTATTTATGTATTTTAAAGATGCAATTATATAATTATACAAGAAGAAAATAAAAAATGGAGAATTAGTAAAGTGAAAATAATACCCAAAATTATATTTGATGTGAAATAAATAGCACAATTCTAAACAAGACTTGTAACGGAAACGCCGTCGTTTAACCAATGCAGTCACTTTGGAGGTGTGACATGGGGCAGATGCCATGCATTTATTATTATTATTATTATTTTGGAAAGTACGATTTTTGGAATGTAACGACACAAACATTATAAATAAAAAACAACACACACACACATATATTTTTAGTTCAATATTATAATAGTTTTAAATAATTATAAAAATAATTGAATTTGATTATATAAAGCCAATAAACAATATAATATAAGTTTATAAATAAATACGGTTTGTTTTTATACCGATTTTGGATCGATAAATTAATAATAAATTATATCATCAATAAATATATCGTACTTCCAAGACTGAGAGGTGAACAAGTGTGGGACGCCAAACCACCGCACTGAGACATTCAAACCTGTAATCGAGCCCTTAGTTTTCTCAACCATCAGCTAACTCCATTGGATCAGTCATACTGCCCTCAGGGTCATTCACAACCTTAACTAATTTTTATGGGGTCGAACTCGACTAACCTTTAAATATGTTTGGTAGATATTTGGTAAAGATTTGATATATATATATATATATATATATATATATATATATATATATATATATATTATATTATATCTTTGTATTATATACTGTTGTACATACTTAAAGTCATCAAATAAAACCTTTATCTCTCCTGTTTTTGGTGTTCATCTTGATCTAGTGTGTACGTGTTGAGCGATCCTAACACTTTTAACAAACTTAACTCGTAGAACCTAACGCATGACTATATAATATGAACATAATTTAATTAATGCAATAAAAATAGAAATAATAATTATTATATTATTGTTAATTGAGAGAAAGAAGTGAAGCAAACAGGTTGATTCTTTCTTAAATAAGACGTTACATAAGGCAAAAATAGGAAGGAATAGACAAAAGCATCATTTTCTAAATTTTGTTTTTTTTTAAAAATTTTATTTAATAAAGACATCACATAATTACCTCTCTATCCCATTTATTTACCCCTTTTCCTTGTGCAATGGGGTAATGGCTGTAATTTAACATTAAAGCAACAAAACTTTTTGGTAGTTTCAGAAACTGATAACAAAAGGCAACGTGGCAAGTCATGATTGGTCAGGTCCCCACAAAACTATTTCTACTTGGTGTACACGTCAAGACCTCATCATGATTTCCCTCCAAAAGTTTTACCGGACGACGACGGCGGAGAAGACGGCGGCGACAGCGATGGGCACGGTGACAGCAACTTGGGTTTTGTTTTGTTGCTCTGTTTGCCTTGCCGCTATGCTGTTAAAATAATAATAAGAATCACACACAACCCACTCGGTCTACTACTACTACTGCTACTACTTTTCTTTTCCCAACGCCCTACGCTCCTCTCTCTCTCTAACCTCGAGATCTGGCCCTTCTCTCTCTAATGGTGGTTGCTGTGTTCGTTGCCTATCAGTTTTTTTAGGATCTAAGAGAGAGAAAGCTCCTGAGATTCAGAGGAGAAATGGAGATTTTGTTCTGAGGTATTTTAATGGCGGATTGCTTCTACTTGTCCATTTATGAACTTCTTCTTCATCTTCTTTGAATTTTTCTGGATTTTGCCTTTAAATCTTCTTTTCCAAATGAATTAGTTTATCTTCGGAATGTTGGAGTTAGGTGATCTTCAATTGGATGTTTTCGGCTCTCTTCAGTTTAGATCTGTTGGATTCTTCCGGATTTTTGTGTTCTTAATGAATTCTTAATGAACTATTTTATTCATTTATTTGTTGATATTCAGATGATTGAATAGGAAATGGGGAAGAAGGGAGGCTGGTTTTCTGCTGTGAAGAAAGCATTTGCTCCAGAATCAAAGGATAAGAAAGATCAGGTTCTAATTTCTATAGATTTTTGTTTTCCGAAGTGTTCTTCTAAGATTCTGGACTGAGAGTTTGCTAATGATTTTTGTTACTAGAAAGCTAACAAAACAAAGAAAAGATGGTTTGGGAAGCCAAAGAAATTGGAGACAGTGGCATCTGGGGAGCCAGCGCCATTGGAAGTGTCTATTCTACCTATTGAGGAAGTGAAACTAGCTAATGCAGAGAATGAACAGAGCAAACATGCTTACTCTGTTGCCATTGCCACTGCAGTCGCTGCGGAGGTGGCGGTTGCAGCGGCTCAGGCCGCCGCCGAGGTCGTTAGACTCACCACCCGCCCTTGGTACTCCGGAAAATCTAAGGAAGAAATAGGAGCCATCAAGATCCAGACTGCATTCCGCGGCTATATGGTAAGCAATATCTTTCACTTTTTTTCTGCAAGAATTGTTGGCACTGTTTGTAAGATATAGCTGTTTAGAAACTATTCACTACTTTTTAAACTGTTCTTTTGGATAGAATTTGATTGAAATAGCCATTAACTTGAGAGAATATTTTGTTTAAGACAAGTACAAATCAAACAATTCAAGATTCTTAAAACAAAACATCAATAACAACAGAATGCACAAATCAAACTGCCTTTTTGCTATGAATTGAGTACTTTTTGCTATGAATCACATAAACCTAACTTCAATGTAGTCTTTGAATGTGTCATTTAATGGTCTACGGAGTGTTAAAAAAGAGTCATTTAAAGTGATGAACTGACCTGACCTGCTTTCTCTGTAGTGGCCCCTTTAGGAATTTGGGGCATTAAATATGGTATTGAAGAGATTGGTTTTGTAATGGGGATTTTGTATGGCTTAGGCTAGGAGGGCCCTGCGAGCATTAAGAGGGTTGGTGAGGCTGAAGTCATTGATACAAGGCCAATCTGTTAAAAGGCAAGCAACATCCACATTAAGATGCATGCAGACTCTTGCTCGAGTGCAGTCACAGATTCGTGCTAGAAGACTTAGATTGTCGGAGGAGAATCAGGCTCTTCAGAGACAGCTCCAACAAAAACATGAAAGAGAGCTCGAGAGATTAACTGTTACTGTAAGTTTTCACTGTTCTCTTCTGCAAATTCCTCGCATTTTGGTTTCTTTTACATAATCCAAGTGTTTAGGGCAGTTTTTATAAGACTTTTTAAGAGTTGAAGTCCACCGCTACTAGATATTGTTGGCTTTGATCCATTACGAATCGCTGTTTGCCTCACGGTTTTAAAACGCGTCTGTTCGGGAGAGATTTTCATACCAAAACGTACTTGTTAGGGAGAGGTTTCCACAGTTTCATTCTCCTCTCCAACCGATGTGGGATCTCACAATCCACTCTCTTGGGGGCCAGCATCCTCACTGACACAATGCTCGGTATCTTGCTTTGATACCATTTGTAACAGCCCAAGTTCGCCGCTAGCAGATAATGTCCACTTTGGCCCGTTATTTATCACAGTCAGCCTCACAGTTTTAAAACGTGTTTGTTAGGAAGTAGTTTCTACACCCTTATAAGAAATATTTAGTTCTCCTCTCCAATCGATATGGGATTTCACAACTTTGACCTTGTCGAATGTAGTAAAGTGATTCATACAATTCAGCTGACCCTACAATATTTAATATTAGAAACTCTTAGGATAGTTACTATTTCAAGTGGGTAGCAAGTAGGCCATGTTCCTTTTTCTAGTGCCCCTTTGTAATGGGAGTTTATAATCCATTAAGTGTTCTAGTTGACTTCAGACCATTTCAATCCATCTTACATGGTTGAGTCCTCCCGTATTTTGTTCCGTTCTCAAGTCCCTGAATTTATGAAGTCTTGTTTCGGTAGTAGACCAATTTGTTAATATTCTTCTAAGTCATTATTTATTAACATAATGACACCGAGCCCTTGTTGCAGCCCGGACGCTGAATCCAGTGCTTTAGAATTGTTTGTCTCTACTAGCTGATATTTAGCACGAGTTTTGAGTATAATTTAAAACCATGAATGTGGCTTGTATAGTATAAAACCATAACGTAAGGGGCATATATGAATGTATTAGTGTTTGCATGTGTTCCTAATCCTTGTGTTCATACTACGGAGAAGAATTCAAGTTTTGATGTTTCAATTAGGCAAACAATGAATGGGATGATAGTACCAAATCAAAGGAGCAAGTTGAAGCCAGATTAGTTAACAGGCAAGAAGCAGCAACAAGAAGAGAAAGGGCGTTGGCTTATGCTTACTCTCATCAGGTTCAATTCATTTCCGTTTCTTGCTGATTTGATTATCATCTTCATGCTCTGATCACTGATTTTCATTCTCCTGGTCGTTTTCCTCAACAGAAGTTATGGAATAATTCTTCAAAATCTGCAAATCCTACGTTCATGGACCCCAACAATCCCCACTGGGGATGGAGTTGGTTAGAGCGATGGATGGCTGCTCGTCCATGGGAGACCAAAAGCACCGTCGATTACCACGATCGTGGCTCTGTCAAGAGCGCGATCAGCCATGCCACGTCAATTGGAGACATCGCCAAAGCTTACGCCCGTCGAGATTTCAATCTCGACATCAAGCCTTTTCCAAGGACTCCGACGAGCCATAATACGAGCCGTGCACCAAGTCGCCAATCGCCGGCGACTCCGACGAAGGCGCAATCGTCGCTATCTGCAGGAAGAAAATTGAAGTCAGCAAGTCCAAGAGGATTAGGCTGGGGCGGAGACGACGATTCCAGAAGCGGATTGAGCGTCAAATCGGAGCGGTTCCGGCGACGTAGCATCGCCGGATCATCGGTGAGGGACGACGAAAGCTTCACTAGTTCGCCGTCCGTTCCAAGCTACATGGCGTCCACAGAAGCAGCTAGGGCTAGGTCCCGCTTGTCGAGTCCGATGGGAATAGAGAAGACGACAGCAACTCCGGAGAAAGAACCGGTGAGTGGCGGCGCAAAGAAGCGGCTCTCATTCACCGCCTCGACGGCGACGGTGAGGAGACACTCTGGTCCACCGAAAATAGACGCTACTCCGATCAAGAATGTTGCAGCGACAGAGAGAGATTTTACCGGCGAGAGCAGATAGTTGAAGGAGATGGATTTGGTAGCGATTTTAAATCATCGTTCTTTAATTTTTTTTTTTTTTTTTGAAGGCAGGAAAATGGTGAATAAAAGCTGTTCATGTAAATGGAATTGTGCTTTGTTTGGCTGCGGACTTCTTTTTTATTTTTTTTATTTTTATTTTATGTATATTTAAATTGTCAGGCTATTTTATTTTCTAGTGTTTGTATGATCCTGTTGTAAATGCAATGAATTTATTTTTTTTCTTTCAGTTTTATAATCTTTTAGTGTTATTGATTGTGTTTAAACCTATCTCATTCTATTTCATTTATGTATTCTCACTAAAAAAAATTAATTTCCCTTATTAAAATTTATATTTTTAAAAATTATGTTTAATATTATATTATATTTTTGCATATAAAATATTGTTAAATTTATCATGAAATTTAATTTTTTTAATATGAATTATATTAAAAAATGAAAATTATCCATTAAAAAATTTGGTTGGAATGTTATATTTTTATTAATTATGTTATAAATTATATTTTTATTATTTCCGTAAGTATGCATCCCAATTACGAAACGACACCGTTTACCTGGAGGCCACCACTACGGGCTTCCCTCCTCAAAATTAGGGCTTGGGTAGTCGGTTATATTCTCTTCTAGGTCAGCTTTTGGGCGTTTCTCATAGAAGTTGCAGGACCTTAATTCGCCATCATGCGGTACGTATTTTTCTATTATCTACTTCCTCCGACGATTTTTTATTTGATATCTGGGAATCTAAGTTCGCGATTCAATTATTGAACGAATTGCATTTGTGACGACTGTTTTTACTGTGTTATACGAACCTTTTGTATTGTTCAGTCTTCTTCATCTTGTTTTCTGAACCATTTTGCACGATAAAATGGAACTGGAACTCATAATGAACAAATTTCGAAGGAATTATTTCATACGAGCTACAGAAATCTTAAAATGAAAGTCAATTATATTTTCAAACAAACACAACAAAAATTCTATAGACTACGACTAGGAGTTTGTAGTTTGCCATTGGACATGCTAAACAATTAATGAGGGCGAGCGGCATTCTATTTGTTTGTTCTTAATGTGAAAATCTGGATGATGAGATCAGAAGTCAAAATTTTGATAGCCTTACAATTATGAACAAATAGATTATAATTTGAAATTTTATTATATTCAAAGACGTATATTCATTACTTTTTAAGTATTTTTGAACAAATAGTCAAATTTGATCGGTGATTGTCATGCGGTTTAATTTCTTTCTGTTCATGAAGCTGTGGATATCTCTGTCTCCAAGTTTGTAAGTTATTATATCTAATTTTGGTTTGTTTTACACCTAATTGGCAATAGATGGGACACTTATCCGAGTGATTGTGGTTAAACAGCAAACTGCCCATTGTAATGGACAGTTTAGTAAAGAAACAGGAGAATGTTGATGAATCAACTCCCATTAAGAAGTGTTCTTGTTCATATTGGACGTTATGGGTCCATACTTCAAGCTGTTGCTCTATCATCTTCAACACCTGATAGTCTCATTACCACTGTACTTAACTGCAAAAGCCCCCAAAAGGCACTTGAATTATTCAATGCGGCACCCGAAAAGAATACTCGGCTTTACTCGGCTATCATTCATGTCTTAGTAGGATCCAAGCTATTTTCCCATGCCAGATGTTTGCTAAAAGAGCTCATACAAGACCTCCTCGTAAAATCTCGCAGGCCATACCATGTATGTCAGTTGGCATTCAACGTGCTGAGTAGCTTAAAAACCTCAAAATTTTCTCCAAATGTATATAGCGAGTTAATTATTGTCTTATCTAAGATGGGACTTGTAGATGAAGCTTTGTGGATGTACCGCAAGGTTGGGGTGGCGGTTGCAAGGCAGGCTTGTAATGTGCTTTTAGATGTCTTGGTTAAGACTGGAAGGTTTGAATTGTTGTGGGGGATTTATGAAGAAATGGTTTCCAATGGGCTGTCTCCTGATGTTATCACTTACGGCATCCTAATTGATGGTCGCTGCCGGCAGGGAGATCTTTTAAGGGCGCATGAAATATTCGATGAAATGAGAGTGAAAGGAATTGAGCCAACAGTTGTCGTGTACACCATTCTTATTCGTGGCCTCTGCTCGGAAAACAAAATGGAGGAAGCAGAGAGTATACATAGATTGATGAGGGAATTAGGGGTACTTCCAAATGTGTACACTTACAACACTTTGATGAATGGGCACTGCAAGGTGGCCAATGTAAAACAGGCTCTTAGATTGTATCATGACATGCTGGGTGAAGATCTAGTGCCAGACAATGTTACATTCGGCATTTTAATTGACGGGCTCTGCAAATTTGGCGACATCAAGGCTGCTCGGAATCTTCTTGTGAATATGGTAAAGTTTAGTGTTACTCCTAGCATAGCTGTATATAATTCTTTGATCGATGGTTACTGTAAAGCAGGGGATATTTCTGAAGCAATGGCTTTCCTTTCGGAGCTGGAAAGGTTTAAGGTTTCGCCAGACGTCGTTACTTACAGTATACTTATTAGAGGTTTCTGTTCTGCGGGTAGAATTGAAGAAGCAGATAACATGCTTGAGAAAATGATGAAAGAGGGAATTCCTGCAAACTCTGTTACATATAATTCACTTATTGATGGATGCTGCAAAGAAGGCAACATGAATAAGGCCTTGGAAATATGCTCCCGAATGATCGAGAACGGTGTAGAACCAAATGTGATCACGTTCTCAATGCTGATTGATGGTTATTGCAAGATAAGGAACATAGAAGCTGCTATGGGCATATACTCAGAAATGGGTATCAAAAGCCTTTCTCCTGATGTAGTTGCTTATACAGCTATGATAGATGGGCATTGCAAGCATGGTAGCATGAAGGAGGCTCTAAAACTCTACAATGATATGCTGCAAAATGGTCTTACTCCAAATTCTTACACTCTTAGTTGCTTATTAGATGGACTTTGTAAAGATGGCAGAGTCTCGGATGCACTCGAACTTTTCACGGAAAAGGCTGAATTTGGGACTACAAAATGCAAGCTTTCCTTCACAAATCATGTGGTGTATACAGCTTTAATCCATGGATTGTGTGAGGATGGACAAATTTTCAAGGCAGCAAAGTTGTTTTCAGACATGAGAAGCTACGGTTTGCAACCAGATGAAGTAATTTATGTGGTCATGTTAAAAGGATACTTCCAAGTTAAACGCATCCTCGACATGACGATGCTACATGCCGATATGTTGAAGTTTGGTATTATCCCAAACTCGGCCATCTACTCGACATTGTCTAAGGGTTATCGAGAGAGTGGGTTTCTGAAATCGGCTCTGAATTGTTCCAAGGAACTTGAGGAACTATATTGTTGAAGCTATCAATGGGGAGTCTTTTACATAAGTCATCCAGTTGATTGCAATGAATTGACGGTGAGTGGAAACTGCTCTTTCAAGTTCTGATCATGTAAGTTATCACCAAATTTAATAGTGTAGCTTCAATGGAAACTGCTTCCAACTTCGAAACTAACATTATGTTCTGCTGTTCTTGATTTGATCTGTTTTATGTTCATTATATTTTGAAATGCAGAATTGGGTAATTGGGGAAGAGGGGAACTGCTTTTCTGCTGTGATCAATGATTATTATGGCAGAAGAGAACAAGAGAAGAGCTTAAGAAACAAGATACCATAGGAGAGCTTGAGAAACAAATATGCTTTTGGATTCCTCGTTGTATTTCTCTTGAACTTGATCATTTTGGTGCTCACATTTGAGCAGCACAAATTATGGCCATCATAATTTGATGTTTCATCTTTAAGATCGAACCGCGAATTTTAGGTTAAATTATACAAATTACTCTCGAACTTTCGAGTGAGCTTCAATTATACCCTTTAATTTTGAACTTACCTTTATGGTTGATGTGTAAAAAATGAAAGGATGATGTGAATTCGTTCATAGAGTATCGAGTCCGGAGGTAATATAATTGGATGAAGTACAGAAAACATAATTTCAATGCCTCGTTTCCCTAATTTGCTTGCAGTGCTCGATTCGTATGCTCTTCCCTAGCACTGGATATATTTTTAATTAAGTTTAAACATTATTTACAAAGTGGGCATTTGGTCTAGTGGTATGATTCTCGCTTAGGGTGCGAGAGGTCCCGAGTTCAATTCTCGGAATGCCCCAAATTTGCTTTTGGTACAAAATTTAAAATATCTTATTTTAATAATGTTTATATCGGCCTCATTGATATTTAAATTTTTATTTATTTGAAAATTTATGAGGAATAGATTGAAATATAGTATATTATTTTATTTAATTTAAACTAAAATCTTTGAACTCCCAAGGGTAATTCCGTCATTATCTAGTCGAAACCGCATCAATTACCCGGAGGAGGTGTGTATATATACCGTCCGTTCCAAATTTCATGGTCATTAGGGTTCAGAGTTTCCGCCAGACAGTCTAACACACTTGTGTTTCGCATTTCGGTGCTTCTTGAAGAAGTCGCAACACCTTCTTAATCCGCAACCATGGGGTACGCATTTCTATCTCATTTACTTCCTCTTCATCCAATTATGTTTTCTCGAGGAAGTTGCAAAACCTTTTCCGAGGATTTGCCTTCATTCTATCTGCTTTTATCTGCATTATAGGAGCCTCATATGAACGATTTCAAAGGCGTTATTTCATACGGATGTTTGATTTTAAACTGGATGCTTGTTAGGATGTTAAACTGGAATTTGTACACCAGGAGAAACGACGTTTTGAACTTTTGAGGATTGTTTTTTTCTTTCTTTTTTTGCTCAAAAGAAGAATCAAAATGTCTTGGTTAAAACATGTACTGATACGTTCTAGTCGGTTTTCTGAACAATCGATAGGCTCGGAGTTGTAGATAATATGTTTTGTGACTATATTCATACTCTCTCTCTCTCACTCTCTCTCTCTTCGTTTGTTCATATGCTTGATCGTTCTAGTTCGTTTTCTGAACAATCGATAGGCTCGGAGTTGTTGATAATATGTTTTGTGACTATAATCCTACTCTCTCTCTCTCTCTCTTTTCGTTTGTTCATATGCTTGATCGTTCTAGTTGGTTTTCTGAACAATTGATAGGCTCGGAGTTGTGGATTATATGTTTTGTGACTATAATCCTACTCTCTCTCTCTCTCTCGCTCTCTCTTTTCGTTTGTTCATATGCTTGATCGTTCTAGTTGGTTTTCTGAACAATTGATAGGCTCGGAGTTGTGGATAATATGTTTTGTGACTATAATCCTACTCTCTCTCTCTCTCTCTCTCTCTCTCTCTCTCTCTCTCTCTCTCTCTCTCTCTCTCTCTCTCTCTCTCTCTCTCTCTCTCTCTCTCTCTCTCTCTCTCTCTCTCTCTCTCTCTCTCTCTCTCTCTCTCTCTCTCTCTCTCTCTCTCTCTCTCTCTCTCTCTCTCTCTCTCTCTCTCTCTCTCTCTCTCTCTCTCTCTCTCTCTCTCTCTCTCTCTCTCTCTCTCTCTCTCTCTCTCTCTCTCTCTCTCTCTCTCTCTCTCTCTCTCTCTCTCTCTCTCTCTCTCTCTCTCTCTCTCTCTCTCTCTCTCTCTCTCTCTCTCTCTCTCTCTCTCTCTCTCTCTCTCTCTCTCTCTCTCTCTCTCTCTCTCTCTCTCTCTCTCTCTCTCTCTCTCTCTCTCTCTCTCTCTCTCTCTCTCTCTCTCTCTCTCTCTCTCTCTCTCTCTCTCTCTCTCTCTCTCTCTCTCTCTCTCTCTCTCTCTCTCTCTCTCTTCGTTTGTTCATATGCTTGATTGTTCTAGTTGGTTTTCTGAACAATCGATAGGCTCGGAGTTGTGGATAATATGTTTTTTGACTATAATCCTTCTCTCTCTCCCTCTCTCTCCGCTTGTTCATATGCTTAATAGAATTTATTCCGATGATGTGATTGCATATAGTTACAAGAATTTATTCATATGCTATGTTCGAATTCTATCGTTGATAGCTTCTCTTTCCTTCTTCGCTTATCCACGTGGTTGAAATAATTTATCTGATAATATAAGTGGAAACAACTTGTGGAAATTCCGATGATGTTATTGTATATAGCTATAAGAATTTATTCATATACTACGCTTTTGGATATGTATGTTTGTTTACAACTTCTATTCGTAGTTTCCATGGTTCCTCATCCTCGTTGAATACGATGATGTTATTGTCGTATTCATGTATTTAGCCTCTCGTTCTCTCTATCAGTTTCTATAATGCTGAGAACAAAGTTTGAGTAATACCTTCCAGTTCATATTTCATATACAAAGCTTAGATAATCGACGTTATTGTATGTCAGTTTCTATATGTAATTTCGTTGGAGGAAACATAAACATAGATTCCTCATACTCGTTGAATTTCATATTCATGCCCTCAATTTTAATATGTAGATTAAATCGTTCTTCTCATTTGACAAGAGTCATTATTTCCATGAAAAATCTTGAAGAATACATTCTTAGCAACTGAAAAATCTTTAGTCATACACATTGTATAAGTTTGTCCTACTCCTTATTAGCTTATTTCCCAAATCCTGCTATGGTAATGGCCAATTGTTGTTTGATATGTGTAACCGTTCAGACGGTCTGTGTTGAGGATTGAGGATTATTGGGAGTGAGGATTATTGGGAGTGAGTCTCACGTTGGTTAATTTAGTGGAAGATCATGAGTTTATAATTGAGGAATACTATCTCCAATGGTATGAGACATTTTGGGGAAGCCCAAAATAAAGCATGAGAGCTTATGTTCAAAGTGGACAATATCATATCATTGTGGAAAGTCGTGATTCCTAACAGTCTGATCATGTAATATGAGTTTTGCAGGAAGACTCGTGGAATGGGAGCGGGTCGTAAGTTGAAGTCCCACCGTCGGAGGCAGAGGTGGGCGGATAAGGCGTATAAGAAGTCCCATCTTGGTAACGAGTGGAAAAAGCCCTTTGCAGGGTCATCTCATGCGAAAGGGATTGTGCTAGAAAAGATGTAAGGTTATATTATTGGATCTTATGCTACTGTCGAAGAATTGTTTATATTTACAAATTTGAATTTGCAAATGCAGTGGTATTGAAGCCAAACAGCCAAATTCTGCTATTCGAAAATGTGCTCGTGTTCAACTCATTAAAAATGGGAAGAAGATTGCTGCTTTTGTACCTAATGACGGTTGCTTGAATTACATCGAGGAAAATGTAAGTCAATCTAATTATGATCATATCATGTTTTTTCGTTGACTTTGCTTTGCTTTCTAATTTGCCTGTAAAAAACGTTTTTGAAAACTAGAAAATGACAGAAAAATTATTGCTAATTGCCCGAAATGCGAAGCAAAAATATTCTGATAAAGACGTTCTTCAGTAATATCATCATGACTTTCGAAGTCATGCGCGGTAGCAATACCAAACCAAATACGACGAGTAGTGGGGTCCTGGCGGATAGTTTTTTTTTATTTTTTATTTTCCGTTTATCTTTCAGTGATAAAAATGTTTCTAAATTTATAAGTAAACAAATTTTTCGAAAATAGGTGTCTGCTTTCAAAGTTCTTCCTCTTATCTTCAAAACTTTTATTTATCGACTTTATTCCTATAATTTTTAATTTAAAAAAAAAAAAAAAAAACAATGTATGCCTTTTATGATATAAAAAGTAGAATAATTTGATAGTGTTATTTTGTATTATGTTTGAAAATTAAATAAGTTTGTTTATTTTAACACGTTTTAGTTATGTTATATTACAGGACGAAGTATTGATCGCGGGGTTTGGACGGAAGGGTCATGCCGTGGGAGATATTCCTGGTGTTAGGTTCAAGGTTGTGAAGGTTTCTGGAGTTTCACTCTTGGCTCTCTTCAAAGAGAAGAAAGAGAAGCCAAGGTCCTAGAAAATTTCACTCTTGATTCTCTCACCCAATTTTAGGATTTTATTGGTTAGCTTTTAACTATTTTAAAATCAATTCAAATTTCAGTTTTGAAGAGTTTTCATGAATCACAGTTGAGGCCTTCAAGATGAATAATGTTCCATACTTTCGTCTATATGCTTCAAAATATGAAAAGTGCTAAAACCTATAGGATTATCTAATTCTAAAGCACATTCAAAATATGAACTTATCATGTGCATTAGTGGAAATAAATAGAGCATTATGCATTAATCATCGGGGAAAAATATTTTTTTATTAGGACTTTTACATAGGCGAAGTTCTTTATTGATAATTCTATATAGGTAGTCGGTGTCGTTAGAAAAATGTTTTTATAAATCAATAATAAACTATAATAAAAGTAGACATTATTCTAAATTATTTAACTAAAAGTTGAAAAATTAAATTAATCAAATTTATGTTACCATTTAAATTAAAAAATATATCATAAAGATATAAAGGCCAACGATCAAGAATAAATATACTAAATTTTAAAAAATAAAAATAAAAATATACTAAATTTTCAAAAATAAAAATAAAAATAAAATAATAAGAAATTTTTATGTTTTTTATTTTTTAAATCTATTTTCAACCATAATAAGAAATTTTTTAAACTTCTAAATAGGTAGTTCTAAATAGAACGGGTGGAAGAAAATCATATACAAATTCTTAAAAAGATAATTTTATTTTATAAACAAAAATATAATTATAATAAATTCAAATTTCACTATTACAAAATAATAATAATATAAATAAATAACAGGGCTGGACGGAAAAGGATGAGACTGTAACCTATATATGAGGCCGAAACATACCGGTATTTTTATTAGGATTTTACGCGTCGATGGTTATCCTCTTTGATCCATTGCTTATTTGTACTATACTCTATAACAGCATAATATTATTTGGGGAAACTAAGATGGACTGATGAACAAATTATTATGATGGAGGCAAGAAATTACCATTATTTGAGAGACACTTTGCTCGTCTGAAGCTCTGTAATGAAGGGAAATCAAAACCAGATGAATACAATGGCAGTTGCATGAAGGCTCTGATTTATAATTTAAACAACTTCGCCTCACATTTTTCCTAATGATTCTTATTAGTAAAATTACATGATCCTTAATTTTGTTTTAATTTATTTTTTGTATATCATGATCCGTAATTAAACTTATTAATTGCATGATCTGAGAAGACTAAACCTTAGATATTTGTTTTGTAAATCCACCCAAATCTAAGATTCCCCAGGAATATTATTAAAAGCTATGTTCTAGATTGCTTTTTAGATGTTCATTAAAAATCTAGAAAGAACTAATGACACATATAAGATTAGAAACGTTAAGAATTATTAATATAGTATTTAACTATACCTGGTCTTCCTACTTCACCACTAGAAGAAATTTGGTTAATGAGGAATCTTCGCTCTATAAGAGACTATTGGACTTCCATAGACCAAACTTCATCATCAACGGCCAATTCAAAAGGGTTCAAAACTCTCCTGAAATACAGGAAAGAACATTTAATCGAACAGATTAAGCCATCCATTTTTTCAAAGAAACAAACGGCATACTATTAGCCGGTGCAATAATCATCAAGGTTGCAGCATACCTTCGCCGGTGAAAAGTCTGTAGCTAAGCTCTTAATGAAGTTGTGATTTTCAGCTTTGCTGTTAGTGTTTGGTTCTAGCGATTGAGAAGATACTTAAGAGACGTTCCTATTTCCTCAGCATGTTAACCACATTATCATAATTCCTTGAATTCATCGAGTTTCAATAAATGAAATCAAATGAACTATATATAGGTTTGCACAGAGAATGTAGACTATGAGCCAATAGGCCATACCTGGAATCATGCGCCGATTACACTTGGAATCCGGTAACACCTGTTCCTTGGAATTTTCATTTAGTGCGAACATAGCAAACTACTGGCGATCCTACCCTGACATAAGGAAGCTCAGCGCTGCAGCGATCGCGCACAAAAGAAACGTGCACGGAAGCAAGACTAGAAAGCTTGGAAGCCGCATCTAATCAATAAAAGATCAGTTCAAGATTCAAGCATCTATGTGATCCAAGTACGATGTATAAAAATAAAGGTTCTATAGCCATTAGGACGCAAGAGATTATGAAACACCACTCGATATGTTCAGAATCCGAGTTTCTAAGTATAAATTCCAAACAGCAATCAGAGGCGAAATGAGAAGCTCGTAGTCTACATCATAATCAACAAGAAAAGCAATTCGAGGTTCAAGCATCCGTCTCATCCAATTACGGTACATCAAATTCAAGCATCCGTCTCATCCATGTTGAGGATTATTGGGATTGGGAGTGTCCCACATTGGTTAATTTAGTGGAAGATCATGGGTTTATAAGTGAGGAATACTATCTTCATTGGTATGAGGCCTTTTGGGGAAGCCCAAAGCAAAGCCATGAGAGCTTATGCTCAAAGTGGACAATATCATACCATTGTGGAGAGTCGTGATTCCTAACAATGTTGAACACAACTCACTGTGGGAAACACTCGCTCTCTTTATTAAGACCAATCGAGAAGAGAATACAAGACACTCTTATGCTTATGCTTTTTTATTGTTTTTAGATTTCTTGGATGAATAACCTAGGTAGGGTGGGGTATTTATACTGAGCCTAAACCATCTATATTTAACCAATCTAAATCTAGACCTAACAAATCTAAATCTTTCTCCTAAAATATTTAGATCTCTTTCTCCTAAAATCTCTACTAAAATAAATATACTGGGCTCGTACAATTATTGGGCTTGACTCTATTGGGCTAGTACAATTATTGGGCTTGACTCTATTGAGCTAGTGATGATATTTCAACACTCCCCCTCAGCACTAGTCCTCATTCGCTGCATCATGTTGAGCTGACAGTGAAAGCTCTCACGTTTGCCAATATTCAGCCCTTTTGTAAACAAGTCTGCTACTTGGTCATCTGTCTTGATCTGCTGCATCTCGATTTCTTCCTTTAGGACCTTCTCTCTAATGAAATGGTAGTGCACCTCCACAAGCTTTGTTCTAGCACGAAACACCGGATTTTCTGCTAGGCGAATCGCAGATTGGTTGTCGCAATGAAGTGGTATTGGATACTCAATTTTCTGGTGCCAATCTTCCATCAAAAGTTTTAACCATGTATTTTCCTGAGCTGCTCTATACTCTGCTTCTGTAGTTGATAATGATACTGTTGGTTGTCTCTTGCTACACCAAGAAATTGTTCCCGAACCAAACTTGAACACATACCCAGTGGTTGGCCTCCAAGTATCATGGTCTCCTGCATAGTCAGCATCACTATATCCAGCTAGCTTCCAGTCTTTGCTTCTTTTGTATAAACGATCGTAATTGATTGTACCTTTGACATATCTCAAGGTTCGTCGAGACGCATCCAAATGAGCCTTCTTCGGATTTTGCATATATTGATCAATGACACCAACTTTATTTTCGAATTTCTTCGATTGGTTCATGTAGAACTCTCTGTTTAACTCTCCATGCAAGAAAGCATTATTCATATCCATCTGCCATAATTTCCAATCTTTATTTACCGTAAGTACTGGAGGAACTTGTACGATAATGATCTTTGCCATTGGACTAAACGTTTCATCATAGTCTAGTCCATATTCTTTAGAGAACCCTAAATCTATAGTCTGAGCTTTGTATCTCACGATTGATCCATCCGGGGTACACATTATTTCGTAAGCCCACTTGCAAGAGATGAGTTTGGTATCTCTTGGTCTTGGCACTAATTCCCAAGTCTGATTTTGTTCCAGGGCTATAGTTTCTTCCTCCATCGCTTTCTGCCAAGCTGAGTTTTGTGATGCTTCTTCATATGTCTCCGGCTCATTAACTTCGTCTTCTACTGCGTTGGCACACTCTGGATTTGCCTTTAGGATTATTTTTGAATGTCTGAGTTGTTGAGGTGTCATTTCATTTTCACTAGGCTCGCTTGGTTGAGTCACTTCTTGCTCACCAACACTAGTGTCACTTGAATCTTCAGGCATATCAGCACTTAAGCAAATGTGTACAATTTGCTCCACCGTCTTTTGTGGAAGAATCTCTTCAGTTTGCTCCCCTATGTTCTGG